AGAACTTGACTGGACATCTGAGAACTGACTTTTTTTTATCATCATTATTATTATTTATTATTACTTAAAGTTTCACTCTTTCCTGGTTTCAGCCAGATTTAAAATACCACACAAATAGCCATTGTCTCTGTGCTTCCAGAAAAAATAGGAAGAGTAAGTCAACACAGAATTTTAAAGAAAGGTCTCTGAGCCTTTTTGAGCTTAAACTAGGATGTGAGTTGAGTTTATTTTCAGTTTTTGAGGAAAGTTTTAGGTTAGTTCAGTTTTTTCCAGAATTAATTTGGATTACTGGGTCAGATTATTTAAATATGGCAATTTCCATATTATTCTGGCTTTATTATCCCATCTCCCATCTATGCCTTGCTGCTCTGGGAAGAGGTTTGCTTTTTGTGCCCAACCCCAGTTACTGTCTTAGTGCTTTAGGTTTCTGAAGGAGAAGCAAAAGTCCTTGACTACTTCTTCCAGTAGTGCACCCATGGGTGCTCCACTTCAGATGCTCATGCGCGCCACGACCTTTAATCAGAGTTATTCATTAGCAGCAGGGGCAGCTCTATGTATTTTGCCGCCCAAAGCACAGCAGGCAGGCGGCTTTTGGCGGCGCGCCTGCAGGTGGTCCGCTGGTCACGCAGATTTGGCGGCATGCCTGTGGGTGGTCCGCCAGTGCCGTGCCATCGGCATCCCTGCCGCTGAATTGCAGCCGAAGCCGCGGGACCGGCGGACCTCCCACAGGCATGCCACTGAAAGCTGCCTGCCTGCCGCCCCCCGCAGCTTGCCGCCCCAAGCACGTGCTTGCTGCACTGGTGACTGGAGCCGCCCCTGATTAGCAGTGTCCATTTGGCCTGCACATACACTGCTTACCTCATGCCTCAGACCGTGGCTATATAAGGTTGTGCGGGCAAACTATATTCAATTCCTTCTCAATTGCCTCAGCCTGAGAAGTAGCCTAGTATGCCTTAGATCAGTGGTTCTCAAACATTTTTATTGGTGACCCCTTTCACATAGCAAGCCTCTGAGTACGGTCCCCCTTATAAATTAAAAACACTTTTTTATATATTTAACACCATTATAAATGCTGGAGGCAAAGCGGGGTTTGGGGTGGAGGCTGACAGCTTGCGACCCCCCATGTAATAACCTCGTGATCCCCTGAAGGGATGCGACCCCCAGTTTGAGAACCCCTGCCTTAGATGCTTGCTGAGTTCATTTATTTAGTTTACTTAATTAGTTTTAAGTAGTTAGTTACTGGCTACTGAAAGATTGTTTTATTTCCTTCAAGGAAATCCCTCTTGTGAGGAGCATGCCCAGTTCACTGGGGTTTAAACGTTGCCTCACGTGTAAAGAGGCTAGCTTGGTCAAACTCTTTAAATGGGTTTGCTGCCTGCGGGAGTTGCACTTCCCACAGCAGTGTAACATCTATTTGGCCTTCAAATCCAGGGCCCAGAAGAACCAGGCAATCAAGTTGTGACTGTAAATGATGGAGTAGTCTCTTTGGAGCCAGATCAGAAGAACCCCCCTGTATATCAGTCCCTGGGGGTTAGTAGTGTCCCTTAAACCTCAGTGCAACACTCTCCTAGAAAGAGAAAAGCCTCAGAGACCTCCTTTTAAAGATCCTAAGAAGAGGCATTTCAATTGTTCTTCAAGTAGTATCCCTATGGGTGCTCTACTCCAGGTGTACATGTGCTTCTCAAGCCCTTGATTTCTAGCTAGCTGTACCTGTTCGGCCCATGCAGGCATCCTATGCCTTCTCATAGCAGAAATCAAGCTCTATATAGGGGTGTGTGGATGAGCCACCATCAGTTCCTTTTCTACTGCCTCAGCCCGAGAGAGAACACTAGCAAATCTGCCTAGCGTATACGCAGACTTTCTCCATTTTTTTTCTATTAACGCTAGTTAGTTTACTGTTATTAGTGTTTGTATAGTTAGTTGGTTTAGCCAAGAGGACTGCGTTTCCTCTCTTCTCCCAAGGAGTCTTGTCTTTCCCTGGCAAGGCGTGCCTAACTCTCCAAGATTCAAACATTGCCTCTCCTGCCAGAAGGTTATACTGGTGAGTGACAGACACTCCAAGTGTTTCCCTTGCTTGGGAGAGTCCCATATCTCCCAGAAGTACTCCACCTGTTTAGCCCTTAAGTCCAGGACTAGGAAGAACAGGGAGATAAAGTTCAGACTGTTGACAGTGGAACGTTCCCTGCAACCACCCTCTGAGCCAGGTCAGGAGATTCTCCTCTCCTCTCCTCCCTCCCTCCCTCCCCCCTCCCCCCCATACATCCAGCATCCCGTCCATCTCAGGGCATGCTTCTCCTAAGAAAGAGAAGCCTTTGGCGCACCCTGGGAAGACTTCCCAAAAGAGCACGGACTTTAAGGAGCCAGCTCCAAAAAAGACCCATGTCCCTGTTGAATCCCTCAGTCTCCAAGTGTACATTGAGGCCAAAGACTCTTCCCTTGGTACCAGCAGGCCCACGAAGCCCCATAGCTCCAAGTAGAGGAAACACGGCTCTGGTAGGGCACCTCTACCTTCTACTAGTAAGGAGAAATTCAGGGTACCATCAAGCTCAGCCCCGTCATCAGCACTGTAGCATTCCCCTCAGTCGTTGGTGCTGTCATGCGTCTTAACCCAGCCATCGTTACTGATGCAAGTAGCTCAGCTGGGTGTGCCTGTGCAAGTGATACTCTTGGTACTGAGCAAGCATTGGTGTTTGACAAGGCCTGTGGAACACTCAGCGTTATTAGTATTGTTAGCTGCAACCATGGCGACTTTGACTAAGGTGTTAGTACTTGTGTCCTTTCCTCAGGAGTTCCAATACTTGAGGGATCTCTTGGTGTCGAATGAACCAGAGTCCCTGTTGCTCTCAGGTACCAAGCGTCTCAGGATACCGATTCCTCAGTCTTTGAGTGGCCTCTCCCTGGCATAGGACTCTCCTTTGTCCTCATTGGTTGCCCCCTTATAGGAGGATGTGGAGGAGGAAGAAGAGCACTCCCAGTCAGGCTCCTTGATTTCTGTTAGGGGTTCTCCTACATACCTCTTCAGGAATCTGCCCTTGCGCAGGGAGGACTTGTTGCACATCAATCATGGTGGAACCACCCTGTATGCCATCCCCACTCTCTTATGCAATGGGACCCATAGGCTGCCTATCGACAACAGCTCAATAAGCCACCAGTACTGTCCATTGTGGAGACCAGAGTTCCACAACCTTCTTCTGCCCTTCTAAGGAAAAGATGTTTGAGGAGTTGGAGGCTAGGGCAGATGAGGAATTTACCCCTGAAACTACCATTTCATTATTGACCCCTCCTTCCATCGCTGATGACTTCAGACAATTCCAGGACATCAGTAGAAGGGTAACGGACACTCTGCAAATCCCTCTGGAGGAGGTCAAAGACCAGCAGCACAGGCTGCTTGATATTTCACAGTAAGCAACACCCTTCAGAGGGTGCTCCCCATTAATTAGGCTTTCCTGGATCCAGCTAAGACAGTATGACAGACTCTGGCAACTATTCAACCAATGTGCAAAAGTACTGACCAGAAGTATAATGTACCCCCAAAGGACTGTGACTTTTTGTTTTCCCATCCCCCACCTAACTCATGGTAAATGCTGTGAACGAGTGGGTAGACAGCACTTTTCCGCTATGACAAGGAGCAAAAGCAATTGGACCTCTTTGTATGAAAATCTTACTTGTCCACAAACCTGCAGTTCCGGATTGTGAACTATCAGGCAGTCATGGCTACATACAGCTTTACTAATTACAATAAGCTCATGGCCTTTATTGAACGTCTCCAACATGACTGCAGGGAACAATTCTAGTCTATTGTTGCAGGGAGTCAGCTGTTGGACAGAACAGCTCTCAAAGCATCCGTGATGCTGTAGATATTGCTGCCAAATCCATCTCCATGGTGGTAGTTATACACAGGGTGTCCATGCCCCAGCTTTCAGGGTTACTGAGAGAGGTCCAAAACACAGTAGAGGACCTCCCCTTTGGTCACAAACTCTTCTCGGCAATCACAAATGACTCCCTGCACACACTTAAGGACTCCAGGGCCACCCGTTTTTCCTTGGGTATTTATATAAGAAGCACTTCAGTAGGTCACAGACGGTCCAGAGATCAAGCCCTGCTCAGTTCCAGGGGTGTCAGAGACCTGCAGAACCCGCCAGGAAGGGAGACAGGTTTCAGAGGAATAGGACTGTCCAACTGCCCTCCACAACCACCCAGGTGTCATCTAACCAGCAGTTTCGATGGGTCGCTCAAGGGTTTGAATCCTCCCGTTCCACCCTTTAGCCCACCTCCCTGCCTTTGGGGATTGCCTTGTCCATTTCTACCTGCCTTGGGAGTAGATCACCACGAACCAATGGGTCTTGAAAGTCATAACCTTGGGGTACACCATCCAGTTTTTGATACTCCCTCCCTTCCATCCTCCTTCCCATCCCTCGTCAGAGACCCTCTGGTGAACTTCTACTAAGGCAGGAGTGAACTTTCTCCTCCAGCTAGGAGCAGTAGAGCTGGTCCCTTCCACTTACAGGGGGAGGGAGTTCTACTTGAAATACTTCCTAATAGAGTCCTGTGCGGGACTGTTTTTAATCCCACTCCTATCCCACCCCACAATACCCATTGTCACTCCAACTCGCTCCTGCTATTATGGCAGCAGTCCTGTGGGATCCCAGTCATCCTGCAGGGCTCTACACTAGTCCCACAGAGGGCTCTACTTCCTAGTACCGAAAAAGGACAGAGATGGGAGGCTGATCTTAAATCTAAAACAACTGAACAAGTTTGTGATGCCTCAGAAGTTCAGGATGGTGACTAACAACTATAATTCCTGCTCCAGAGGAAGGGAATTGGTTTTTGTCCCTCAACCTACAAGACACTTACTTCCATATGGCCATACACCCATTGCACAGGAAATACCTACAATTCACTGTGAGCCAACATCATCTCCAGTACAGATTGTGCTTCCCTTAAGTCTATCTGCAGCTCCAAGGGTGTTCTCAAGGTTCCTAGCAATAATGGCAGCTCACCTTTGGCAGGAAGCAATTCTCATCTTCCCATACCATGATGACTTTCTTCTCAAAGGCCAGTCTTTCAAGGCAGTGTTGTCATCCACTCAGAAGGGACTTGCTCTGTTCCAAGAGTTAGACCTACAGCTGAATGTAAAGAAACCCACTTGAGTACTAGTGCAGGGAATTCAGTTTATAGGGATGTACTTGGACTCAGTGACAGCCAGAACATATCTTCTTTTAGACAGATTTGTGATTCTGCCAGGACTAGTAGGGACGATTCATGGAAGCCCTGGGAAATCAATAAGGAACTGTCTTCAACTCCTTGGCTATATGGCAGCATGAACCTTTGTGACCAGTCATGCCTCTGTTGCATCCAAGGTTGGTTGAGAACTGCATACTGTCGGACCAAGGACAACTTGGACAGGCAGGTGGCATGTAAAGAACTCCCTGAACTGGTGGAAGGAGCAGCTCCCCATCTATTGGGCATCCCTTTCTGCCACCCAACCCTGTTAGTGACTCTAACAGCCGATGCATCCTTGTTAGGGTGGGGAGCCCACCTCGGTACCCTCACAGTTCAGGGCAAGTGGATGCCCTAGGAAACCAGTCTCCACATCAACCTGTTGTATCCTGCTCTATGAAGGTGCAGCAGGTGTTATTACACAGCAGAAAAACATCAACCCGCACTTCTTACCTGCAGAAATGGAAGAGATTTGCCCACTGGCACTGTCATCGCTATCTCTGGCCTTAGTTGATTCCCCTTTCTGTCATCATGGGTTACTTGCTGAATCTGAAGACATCCGGGGTATCCATCAGCTCGGTTAAGGTACACCTGGCTGCTATATCAATTTTTAATCCCCGGGTCTGAGTAATCTCTTCCCCATTAGGCACCCCACCCCTTCCTGGGACCTCAGGCTGGTTCTCAGCTACCTCATAAGATCTCCATCTGAACCAATGGCTACCTGCTCCCTTCTTCAGTTGTCTGTGGAGATGGCCTTCCTAGTTGCCATCAGGTCAGCCCGTAGGTTTGGGGAAATTGGTTTGGAACTTTGATGGCAGATCCCACCTTTATCACGTTCTTTCATGATAAGGTCTCTTTATGTTCATATTCTAGGTTCCTACCCAATGTTACATCAGATTTTCATCTTAACCAATCTATCTATCTACTGGTATTTTTTCCAAAACCTCTCAGTTCTCAGCAGGAATCCTACTTCCATATCTTGGATGGTAGAAGGGTCTAAACCTTCTACTTTAATAGGAATAAGCAGTTTAGGAGATTGGCTAGACTCTTCATATCCTTTGCAGATCTAAGGGGGACCACATTTCTGCCCAAAGACTTTTGAAATGGATATCTGGTTGTATCTACACCTGTTATGCATCTGCAGGTGCTCAGCTCCCAGGGGGTGAGAGCTTATTCAGCTAGATTGGAATTAACAACTGCTGTATTTTTTAAGAATATCTCAGTTTCTTAGATATGTAGAGCTGCTTTTCCTGGTCTTCAATCCATATGCTTTCCAAAGCACAATGCCCTCCTCTATGCAGTCAGGTCCAATGTGGTACTTGGCTCAGCAGTACTATCTTTGGTTCTGGACTCTGTTCCGAAGTTCCCTCCTCCTTCTGGGGATACTGTTCAGAAGTCTCCTGGAGTGGGACACCCATAGGGACACCACTCCAAGAAGAAGATAATGTTACTTACCCTGTGCAGTAATTGTAGTTCTTCGAGATGTGTGTCCCTGTGGAGTGGAGCACGCATAGGGAGGCACATCTCAAAGAACTACAGTTACTGGCTAGGGTGAGTAACATTTCCTTTTCCTCCTTCACCTCGAAAAGACCTGGCTCTCCAACCAGGTCAACAGCCTGCAAGACCTCTTCCTTGAGGCCTGGTACTTTAGAGGATAGGGGTGCCTCATGTACCAGCGAGGCAGGAAAAGCTCAAAAGGCAAATATGGCTCAGAGAAGGCTCCGGTGTTGTCTAGAAGAGATGGTCAGAGCAGACACAGGAGGTCCAGTCTGTCAGACTTAACCTCTCTCTCGGTACCCTTATTGAGCTCTTTGGTAATGTGTAAGTCTAAGCCTGCATCTACATCAGTGCCGCCTGTGAAGTCTGAAAACCACTGCTATCATCCTGCAGAGACAAGCGTACCCGTCCATCCATGCTGCAGCCTCACATGGTGCCGTAGGACTTTAGGTATCCGAAAGACTTATTGGTGACTGCTGAACCACAGTCTCCATTGCTGGCATCTCTCAGTAACAAGAACCTCTCAGTCTCCGGACCCTTCCCAGTACTGTCACCTCTCTTTTCAATTGGAGCTCCCTGATAGAGGAAGAAGACGATGATCATGGAGACCTCCCTTCAATATATTTCTTAATCTTAGCCAATCTATTTCTGTTCAGAGACTCTCCTGTGTACCTATATACAAACCTCCTTTCTCAGAGAGATAGGGAAGATGTCTGGGAACCTCATCACTCCAGCGACATTCTATATAAACAGATAGGGTGGTGCTCGCTCCTCTCTCCTATGCCAGGAAGCCCTCAAACTGTGAGACTTCTGCATTGCCCACTCAATACATCTAGAGGCATTGTACCTCAGAATGAGCTGGCCGATCATCTCAGCATGTCCTTTCACAATCACGAGTGGTCCCTCCGCCCAGATATCATGATCAACATCTTCCAATGTTGGGGATTTCCCCATTCAGAACATACAGTTTATAGGGGCATCCCTAGATTCCTTGGCCTCCAGGGTATTTCTTCCCATGGACAGATTCATGACACTATCAAATTTATCACAGCTATTCAAGGGAACCCCCAGACTTCAATCAGAAACTGTCTTCAACTTCTAGGTCACATGATGGCTTGCACTTTTTTGACAGAGCATGTAAGATTACACCTTCACTATTTCCAGGGGTGGCTCAAATCAGTTTACTTGCCAAACAGGCAGCCTAGACAAAGAGGCGTCAGTTCCTCAACAGGTCAGATGCTCCCTGGACTAGTGGAAGGTTCATTGAAAAGTAGGGGTGAGGGTCCCCTTCCTCCAACCAACGCTAATGATAATTGTAATCATGGATGCATCTCTATTAGGATGGGTTGTGCAACTCAATGTTCTAACAGTACAAAGCAGATGGTCACCCTAAGAGATCCGTATTAATCCGTTGGCGCTCAGAGCGGTCAGAAATGCCTACCTTCACTTTCTGCCTCTCCTCAGATACAGGTCTATCAAAGTCCTATATCAGTCGGCGGGGAGGAGCGAGGTCCTCTTCCCTCTGTGCTGAAGCAATAAAGTTACGGAACTAGTGCATAAAACATTGCATAAGAATTTCAGCAGTGTATCACCTGATCAGGCAAAATGTCAAAGGTGTTTTTTCCAAGAGTACAAATGGAAGTTGCATTCCCAGATTCTTGTTGGCATATTTCAGACTTGGGGATTTCCAGAAGTGGACTTCTTTGCAATAACTACAAACACAAAATGCTGTCTATTTTGTTCAAGGATTGGAGTCTAGGTCACAATCCCTTGAAGGACTCCTTCCTCCTCACTTGGAGAAAGAAGCTGTTTTATCCATTTCCCCCAACGCTTCTGATTCTCAAAGTTGTGAGCAAAATCAGACAGGATAAGACCAGAGTTATTGTAATCGCCCCAACATGGTTGAGGTAGGCATGAGTTCCTTACCTGTTGTGCCTAAATCTTTGTCCAGCAATAAATCTTCCAATCACTCCTCTTTCAGGATGGTGGTCGCCAGCTACCTACCAATCTGAGCATTCTCAGATGTGGCTCCTTGACAATCCGTGGAATTAGTCAGTCTGTTCTGCAAAGGTGCAACGGATATTATTAAGTAGTAGGAAAGATTCTACCAGAAACAGTTACTTTCAAAAGTGGAGATGATTTACTCATTGGGGGGAACTCCAGAATACTGTCCCAAATCTACCTTGCTTATTCTTGTTCTGGAATACCTGCTTCAACTAAAGAAAGCGGGTCTATCACTTAGCTCTCTTAAAGTTCATTTGGCTTCATTAACAGCTTTTCACATCTCTATTGAGGGGATTCTGGCTGTTTTCTTACCCTACAACTGATTGCTTTTGCGATCCCTCGATTTGAGGATTCTCTCTACCATGGATTTACATATGAGTCCTAAGATGACTCAGCAGTCCAATCCTGGAACCGCAAATCCGCCCGCAATTGGTACAGACATTTCGTGGCAGGCCACCTGCCTGCTGGGAGAAAGTTCGTTCTTTTTCTTTCTTTCTTTCTCTCTCTCTCTTTTCAGCTTCGAGGGCAAGGCACTTCTCCTCGAAGCGGGCCACTGCCTGATGGAGGATATGGCACCATTAGGGTCGGTTGGTGGCTTGCTCCTCCCAGCTTGTGATGTCCACATCAGTTTTCTTAAGATATGCTTTCAGTGGGTCTTTGTAGCATTTCCTCTGACCACCACGGGATCTCTGACCATGGGTGAGCTGAGAGTAGAGGACTTGTTTTGGGAGGCGAGAGTCTGGCATCCGCACACAATGTCCAGCCCAGCAAAGTTGGTGCATGAGGATCATTGCTTCAATGCTGGTGACATTGGCTTCAGCGAGGATGATGGTGGTAGTGCGGCAATCTTGCCACTTGACGTGAAGGATCTTCCAAAGGCATCATTGTGATACCTCTCCAGACTCTTGAAGTGCTGTCGATAGTTCACCCAGATTTCCCATCCATAGAGGAGTGTAGGAACAACAATAGTCTTATAGACCTGTGTAGCAGATTGCAGACTCACCGGCGAGGCACCTCCTCCTGGTCGTCCGGGAATTAGCTCAGTTCCAGCCTCGGAGCGCCCCCTTCTGGCCAGTGTCTCTCCTGCCTCAGGCCCCCGTGTCCCTCCTGGACCCTGGTGTCCTCTTATCTTGGGGTGCTGCCCCTCAGCAGTGCCCCACACTCTGGGTCTCCCTTCCCAGCGGAACCCCCAACCCTCTAACCCCACCTTGCCTCAGTGGCTACTGCCAGTCGTCATCTAGCCCCCTTTTCCCGGGGCAGACTGCAGTCTGTAATGACACTCATCACTGGCAAGGAGGTTGGACCTGCTGCCTTTGCCTATCCCCAGGCTGCACCTCTGCAGCCCCAGTACCTTTACCAAGGCCTCAGCCTGTGGAGTTGCCAGGCTGGAGCTCCCCAGCTCCTCTTGCCCTTCCCCAGCACTGTTCTGCCCCCTGTGCTCCCAGGCAGCTAAGTCCTTCTCTCTCCAAGGCTGGAGACTCTGACCCAGCTCCTCCCTTAACCCTTCTTATCAGGGCCTGGTGTGGTCCCAGCTGTGGCCGCTTCTCCAATCAGCCTATCTTTTCTCCCAGGAGCGGGGTAACTGCCCCACTACAACCTGGATCTTGGTGGTCTGCCATAGGTCATGGTCCATGAAAACGCATCAGAACAGTTTCCCAAAGGAAGCACTTGCGCACTGGATCTTGTGCTGGATCCCATTGTTGATTTTTGCATTTTGAGAAAGTTGGCTACCGAGGTAGCAGAAGTGCTCGACTGTCTCCAAAGCCTGACCCTCGACGGTGATTTGTGCTGTATCATGTGCAAGGCCTGAAGCAGGTTGATAGAGCACTTTAGTCTTCTCAGTATTAAGTGAGAGTCCCAGGCTTCGGTAAGCTTGTGCAAGAAAATCCAGTATGGACTAAAGGTCATTCTCAGTCTGCGCGAGGATGACACAGTTGTTAGCATACTGAAGATCAGTAATGGACACCCTGAAGACTTTAGAGTTCGAGCAGAGACCTCAAAGATTAAAGAGCCGCCCATCCATTCTGTATTAAATGTCAGCTCCATTGGGGAGGTGATCTTTAACGAGAACCAAAATGACTGCTAAACAGTTGGAGAAAAGGGTTGGGGCAATAAAGCATTCTTGCTTAACCCCAGTTTTGATAATGAAAAATTCTGTCTGAAGACGGAGAACCATGGCAGTCATCTGATCATGGAGAAGCCTAAGGACCTTAATAAATTTTGGAGGGTAGCCAAAT